CTGTGAACTTTGTGGTAAATTGTTTAAAAATCGTTTGGGTATATATCATCATATGAAAACACATCGTCGCAAGGAACCGCAAACGAATTAATGGGGGAGATTTTTGTCTTTGTTTTATAAAATTTTGTAATAAAAATTATATGTTTTTGTTGTGTCTTGTCCAAACAAGCTAAATGAAATAAGTTTACGTTTATTTCGAAGAGCACTTGTGAAAAAATCCTCTTCATATACAGATACAAAATATAATTCTACAAAAAAAAAAAAAAACTTTATTCGACTGAATCAATATTTTCTAAAGCCCCAATCAAGTACCATATAAGATCTGCCGCAATATCTATTAAAAGGCAAACGTAAGTCAGATGTTTTTTCCCAAGTCTAATGTCATAAATTTGGACTTTGTCAAGATCTATTAATAAGTTCTTCCAGCAAGCATAAGTCAGATGCAAATTCTATTAATAAGGTATCTCAGCAAGGTAGAATCAGCTGTTTTTTCCCAAGTCTAACGTCCAATGCCATGCTGGTGTCAAAATTTTACTTCCTTTACGTTCATAATGAAAGTCTATTCACAATAATGGATTTTGACAACAAACTTGAGAATCAGCTGTTATCCAGCTGGTCTCCCTGGTTACCTTATTAATAGGCCTTGATTTGGACCAAGATCTATTAATAAGCCAACCCAGCTAGCCAACTCAGCTGTTTTTCTCAAGTCTAATGTCAAAAATTTTGCTTCTGTGTACGTTTTCATTATAGAAATCAATTCACAATAATGGATTTTGACAGCAGACTTAAGAGACAGCTGATATCCAGTAGATCTCCCTGGGAAACCTTATTTATAGGCCTTCATCTGGACTTTGTTTACATTTTCATAACGGAAGTCAATTCACAGCAATGGATGGATTTTAATGGTGGTCTCCCTGGATACTTTATTAATTGACCTTGGCAAAGGCAAATCCATTGCCAATAAATGTAAACATCTTTTTGAAAGGCTAGGCCTTGCTCTTACCTACAATGTGGATAACAACTGTAGTGTTTTCCAAGCTAAATTTTTCGCGATTTGGAAGACAGCAGAATTGATAAAAAGTCTGGATGTAGAGATCGTTAAACTGGTGACTATCTTTGTGGATAGTCAGGCGGATTAATGAGTTTACACTTTCCACCGTGTCAACAATGCAACCTGCTTTTATCTACAGCATCATCAGGAACCTAAAGTGGTCTGGAAAGTGCAACCATAGCATGTAATATGTTTTCTGTCCAAAATTTCTACAATCATCGACACTATTTAGTATCTATCTCCTCTTATTTCCTTCTCGATCTCGATACCCTTTCCCCCCTACAGATCTGACCATATCTTTCTTGGATGATCACAATGGACCAGACGGTCTCCGAGACCTGCTGTCACAGTTAGTGACTGCACATCCCCAAACCTAAATTCCCTGATATTTGAGTAATTATTACCACCCAGTGTTCATATTTTCTACTAGATAAGACTTGATCCAGAACCTGCAAGAATCTATTATTCGTTATCTATGTCTACTTCTTAAAATATATACGTTTATTAAGTTTTTGAATACATTTATGGATTTGGATATATCTCTCAGTTTTACATGGAGATTTAATTCATATATTGGACTGTTCCCGTACTGCATGAATCTACTAGATTTACAATACAATAGGTTCGTTCGTTTACTTTCCCAGTAATATTTACTCAGTAAGAATTTGCAGAGAGTAAATACGATTTTTTCCTTCTCAAGAGAGAAAACTGCAAAAAGTAAACGAACAACATCCAGTAAAAAGATTGTTTCGACACAGCTGATTTAAACAACAAACAAATTGGCGCAAACTAAAAAACAGCATTTTTATTAGAAAAATGGATAACAAGCGGAAAATGTATGTTGTTTACCAATACTTGCGTTTTCTTCATCAATTTTAATGTTTAATAATACAAAATCAATATAAAATTCACAAAACAATCAATTTTGTTGAGGACAATTTTGTTGTTTGTTTACAAAATATAGCAAAACAGCTGATTAAATATCAGCTGACGGTGCAAGAAAATTCTTACTGAGTAAATTTTCCTTGTAAGAATTTGCAAATACTCAGTAACACAACTGTCAAATCTGCTCTCTCAATTCACTCTCTTTTACTGGACTTCTGGGTAAACGAACAACATTTTGTAATAATTTGTACAAATTCGTACAAATTATTGAGTAAACGAACGAACCTAATATCGTAAAGGAAAATTCGGAAAAAGTAGTAGGTTCTTGCAGTACGGGAACAAACCATATATTTCGAGTCGACAACACTGTTAAATACATTTGTCTAGCATAGCATTCACTGAACATACCCTACAAAATAATAAACGATGCACACACTATCACGTTTAAATGCGAATTGCCGAAAGTCGATCTACACAACCCTTGTTATTGTCCACGAAGAAATTTAACAACACAAATTGCATCGGTCTGAACTTAATATTACAAAAAAAGGGGACGTTTATAAACACATCCATCGAAATGCGGGACTACGATGACTACATCAAATGTGGAGAAATCCTCTTATCACCTTCCATCGATGACAAAGAACAATTTATATTGAAATGCAGTGATTGTGATAAATATTATTGTGACTTGCAACGATTCATTCCGCATTGGCAGCGGCATTACAGTGATAGCCAGGAATCGGATGTGGATGAAGATGGACTCGATGCAACAATTAAACAAGAAGTTGTCAAGAAAGAGCAGTCTGTAAAAAAGGAAATTAAAAAAGAAAAGGAAATCGTGGAGTACATCGATGAAGATCAGGTATTACAAGACCTCGTGCAAACAATGTCTAAGTGCTTGTTTGTATATAGGGTGTGTTGGTGGTGGGTGATGAGATCTTTCTCCGTAGTAAACATTTTCAACATTAACACATCAAAAGATGATAAAGTAGTATTCAGTGTCCAATTTCAAGCCAATTTTATTTGAATAATTTTAGAATTATTCAGTTCATTTATTATTGCAATATTAATACAGTGGCGTAATTTGTTTCCCTTTGTACATAATTGCCCATTAAGAACTCGAATTAAATAGTGAATTTTTTTTAATCTATTTTATAGGCATCCTTGAATTTCGGAGAACATTACATTATTGAATGTGATAATGATTTCGGACTTGAAGAGGAAAATGCTGCATACAATCAAACAGAGATCTATCTTGAGGATACAAAAGAGATTGAAGAGGAAATTGAGGCTGAATTTCAAAAACCTGAAACCGAATATGATGAGTTAGATGAAAATAATGAAATTCCAGAAGATGAAGATGACGATTATCAGATTGATAATGATGATGATGAGCATAGCAATTATAGTAATAGTGAGGATACATTACAAATCGACGACGATAGTCAACAGGATTCAAATGAATCGGTCAACAAAAATAGGGTAATTTATAATTTATTTATGCCAAATTTCCTAAAAAAATATTTCATTTTTTGGTTTCAGAAAAATAAATTCAAAGTCAAATATAACACCTCCAGAGGCTATAAATTCGTACGTGATTTTTTCACCTCCAAACCAAATGTCAGAGCATTTATCGAGGTATTCAAAAATAAGAAAAATCTCTGGGAAATTGGAATGTACACACAACTTTCCAAACAACAAAGAATTGATTACCTTGAAGAAATATCCACAGAACTTCACAGTAAAATTAAAGTAAAATTAACATTGGATCAAATACGTGATATTATTACATATTTACGTGCGAAACATAGAATTGCAGGCCTGTATGCCAGTACGGGCAATAAGACTCCGCCAGAATGGTTTGTCGAATATTTAAGCTTTTTGCCATCGTCCACTGTTAATGCCAGCATCAATCAACTGGGTACACACACTCTAAAGAAATCACAAATTCTACAAATGCTTGAAATCTACAAACAATTTCCATACTTATGGGATAGCGATTTAGTGGAGTATGTGTGCAACAACAAACGTGATGAGGCCCTACAACAAATGCAAGAAGTCATACAAACTAAGCTGAATCTGCAGACGGACATCATTGAATTGAAGCGATATATTAATGACATCAACATGTTTTATGGCAAACAGAAGCGTTTGGAAATGAAAAATGCCGATCCCGAACAAATATCCGAATATTATGATTGCATGGATTATCTGCGTGATCATGTGCCACCGTTTGAATGTCCAACGTGTAATAAAAGAATTGTACATGCGTTAAGATTTAGAATGCATCTTAACGGTCATCAGGGCCAAGACGAAACTATACCATGTAAGATATGTGGCAAACCCTATGGCAGTGTGGAACCTTATATGCAGCATTGTCGCAGACATATGGACGATTTACCGGTCGAATGTAAGGAATGTGGTAAACGATTTATACGAGATGCTGATTTGCGTTTACATATGCGCATCCACACGGGTGTTAAACCATATTGTTGTGAAATTTGTGGTGCATCATTTCGTCACAGCAATGCCCTGCTGCTACACACCAGACGTCATAAAAAGTTATATTGTCACAGTTGTACCATATGCCCAAGGCAATTCTATTCGAAGGATGAGCTGAATAATCATATGGATATACATAAGGGAGAACGTAATCGTATATGTAAAATATGCGGTAAGGGATATAAGACAAAGAGTACACTGAAGGCCCACATACTGACACATGAAACAGAGCTTAAACATCCATGTGAACTTTGTGGTAAAATGTTTAAAAATCGTTTGGGTGTATATCATCATATGAAGACACATCGCCGCAAGGAACCACAATTAAATTAGTGTGTATTTTTTGTACTCTATAAAATAACTTTGCTGAAGAGAAAAAATAAAAATCGTTTAATCTATTTAAATAAAATATTTATTGCTTTTTTGTTGTTGTGGCAGCCCTATTGCCCGTTGGCCCAAAAAGACTCGTGTTGTTTCGGATCGTAGATCCCTCTGTCGTGGAAACGGGTTTTCTTTGTAGGTTTGTCCGTTTACTTTCCCAGTAATATTTACTAAGTAAGAATTTGCAGAGATTTTGTTTGTTTACAATACATAACAAAACAGCTGATAAAATCAATCAGCTGATGGTACAACAAAATTCTTACTGAGTAAATTTTTCCTTGTAAGAATTGCAAATACTCAGTAACACAACTGTCAAATCTGATCACTCAATTCATTCTACACACACAAATTCCTCACATACTTAGGTCGTGTAAGAATCGAATATTTATTTATTTAATTCATTCATGTAATACAAAGCCTTTAAGGATAATTTATCGTCAATTTTGATTTAAACTCCCCTATACTTGTGTGTTTACGTTTTCAACATTATTATTGGGTTCAAGGTATATGCATTATGTCATCTAGTAAGGCCAGTTGATATATGCATTCGTTGTCAAAATATATTGAATTTGAAAAACATAACCATAAGAACCTGCAAGAATCTACAAATTTTACAAGTTTTTACTCGAAACCTGTCCCTGAACCCACAAAACTAGTAAGACTTTTATCCAAATTTAAGAAAACCCAGAATAAAATGGCTCTTTCTCTTCATAAACTTTTTACTCGAAAAATTCTGATTGGCTGTTGTGTTGATTTACCATCTAATTTTGACATTTTCACTACTTTTTCGTCCCAGAACTTTAAGTTCTATTCAAGATCTATTAATATCGGCTCTAATTTGGTTTTTTGGTTCTCATGGATTAGCAAATCTCCCCAACAAAAATTATCAAAATTGGCTCAAGTTTCGGGGTGTAGATGTGTACTCTTATTTTTCAATATTTAGGGAATTGATAGCACGGTTTTCCACCGAATTGACTGTTATTTGGTATTTTGAATTCTCATTTGGTTGAAAATCATCAACCTCTTTATAACAGAACCTCCCTAATTTCGGTATTTTGGGGAGCTTTGTCACGTTTTTCCACTGAATCGACCATAATTTGGTGTTTGGGGCTCTCATTGGGTAGCAAATCTTCCTACCAAAAATGATCAAAATTGGTCCCTTTTTTAGGATAGCCCAGGATAGGATAGAAACTGTAAACAAAGTCAAAATTTTTGACATTAGAATTTGACAGAGAAAAAAGCAGCTGACTTTCGCTTGTTTGGTGAACTTATTAATAGATCTTGACATCCTGTAACAATTTGTACAAATTTTGAGTAAACGAACATACCTAATGTGAAACAATTCACAATAATGGATTTTGACAGCAAACTTGGGAAACAGCTGTTAAGCAGCTTGTCTTCCTGTTGACCTTATAAATAGGCCTTTGACAGAACTAGACTCTACATACAGAGTTGATTTTCCTACCTGGAATACTTCAAAAATTGTTGGTTTTTATTGCATTGGTAAACAAATTATAAACAAAAATATAAATCTCTTGCAATAAACCACAAATAAACCAACCATTCCAAAAAACATGGGTGATTATAGCAATTTCATAAAATGTGGACTGGTGCTATTAGCACCATCGTTGGAAAACAAAACTCAATATATCTTAAAATGTCTGGATTGTGATGAATATATGAAGGGATTAAAGAAACTTATAACCCATTGGAGGAATACTCATTTATCCAGCGGCTTTAAGGAATTATATTATATAGTGGAGGAAGAAGGTAAACCATGTCACCGTTATGGAATAGAAGCTGACGAACCGATTGTTAAAAATGAGCCGGTGGACTATGGTATGGATAAGGATGATATGTTAATGGTGGACAATGTAAATCCGCCAGAAGATACAGGTCTGAACGAGGAAGTTATTGTTAAACACGAATCACTAATGCCGAATATCCATAGAAGTGATATGTACATGCAGGATGGTCTTGTGGAGGAACCAGTTGCGAGCAAGGAATCTGTAGCCTACGCTAATGATTATCAGGTATTCAAGTTTGTAATGTTAAGGGGACAGTTTCAGTTCTTAAATTTTTAGCTTTATTTTTTTAAAAGGATCCCTTAGAATATATAACATGTGATATGAAAGCGGAATATATTGATGATGTTGACAATGTCGCATTACAAGAAGATAACGATAACTCGGATCTAATGTTACAATGCGAAACACTTAGTGTAGATGAAAATTTAACGCAAGAAGAAGAATACGAGGAAGAGACGGAGGAGGAGGTAAGCTATGCAAAAACTTAACAAAATTATACTTTGAAGATAAACCCCGTTTTCACATTTTCAGGTTACCGACATTGAAGAAGGCCCATATGCTAAATTCGTAGAAGATTTTATGAATAACAAACCAAATGCTTTGGCTTTTATAAAGGCTTTCAAATTTCAACCACAAATATGGAATCCCGAACTAATCGATAGTATTAACGACAACGATAGGTCAAAATATTTACAACAAATTTCATCTGAGGTTAAAAGGGAAACATCTACGATACTATCTATAGAACAGACAAAAGCCATAGTGGCATATTTATGTTTACAATATAAACTAGCCACAAATACCATTATAAAACCCGACTGGTTCTATGACCATTTACGTTTCATGCCATTGCCAAGTAAATATATGTCCATAACCGAAATTGGTAAACACAAATTAAATCCTCAACAAATAATACAGATTCTACAGACATATGAGACACTGCCATGTCTCTGGAACAGCGATTTAAATGAATATTGTTGCCACAATAAACGTTTGGAGGCTTTGGAAAATATGCAACAATTCTTAGAGTGTGAAATGTTTATAAAACTTGGGAAAAATGAATTGAAATACTATCTCAGCAATGTCCACATGCATTGCACGAAACAAAAACGCTTGCAAAAACTAGATTCCCATCAAACACCTCAGTCGGAATATTTCCAGTATATGCAATATCTTGTTGATTATGTGGCACCGTACGAGTGTCCAGAGTGCGATAAAGTACTGTGGAATCCATTGGCGTTAAAAGCTCATAAATCCACTCACGATGGCGGCACACCATTTTTATGCTCCACCTGCAATCAAGGTTTCACGAAGGTGAATCCTTATGTTGATCATGTTCGACGGCATATGAATGACTTCAATTCTGTGTGCAAACAGTGCGGTAAACGTTTTTTGAATAATCACAATTTACGGCTACACATGCGCATCCACAGCAGTGTCAAACCATATGTATGCGGCATTTGTGGAGCTGCATTTTGCCGCCACAGTGCCTTTCGGGTTCACAAAATGAAACATGAGCAAAACTATCGTCATATATGTCCGATTTGTTCGAAGGGATTTTATGAAAAGCATGGTCTCGTTTACCATTTGAATACTCACAAGGAAACGAAAGATTTCGCCTGTACAATGTGCGATAAGGCGTATCGAAATAAAAGCACACTGAAACAACATATGATTACACACAAAGAGGGTCAGGAGTTTACCTGCCCAGTTTGTGGAAAAGAATATAAAAATAAATTGAATATATACCGGCATATGAAAAAACATAGGGAGGAAATGGCGGGAAAATTGACGCAAAGTAAGAGAGTAGAGAAATCATAAAAAACCGGCACTTCGCCGAACACCCAAGAAAGAAGAAGAATGTATATAGATACATAATTAATAGTATATATTGGATACTTTTTTTCTCAAATATAACATTCTAATTGAATCTAGTATGTAATATAAATATTCATGTAGGACAGACAAATACAAATTTTGTTAAATTATAAAATACTTAAATTAATATAAAACATTGCAAGGTAATGGTCTGATTTTAGTCTTGTTATTTATGGTACGACTTTTTTATTGTTATTATTTATTTATTATATTTTAACAAAAGCCGAGGGAAATTTTTTTGACTTAAATATAAAATAAAAGATAGCTACGATTTATCCAATATCTATGAAAATTCAAGTCCTGCGAAATTGACAAAGCATTACCCAATGCACTCATTGTGTTAAATATAAATTAAAAGAATAGTTCCTACACTTTCAGGGCAGTAGGTTGGTACGGCTGTCATTCACATCCGTTCACTCAGAGACATTTGTCCAATGTGCTCATCCAAAAGAAAGGAGTGGAAAAGAGTGTAGAAAATTGGTCATTTTACCCTTTTCAAAATCTTAACAAAGCTTAGGATCTTTTTGGGGTCTATTCCGGAGAAAAGTGCTAGTTTCGATTGGCCCAAACATTCTATATCCTCCACCATGAAGTTGACATTAAAAATTTCTAAAATTAATGGGGATTCCAGAAAAACTAATTGTATTATAATACGTTTACATTTAACCGGTTTTCGTTAAAACAGTGGGTTTCAATTGCCAATTCCATTGCCTATTTGTCAAATAAATCCTCATCAAGTAGGTTAACCCTGCAAAAAGTTCTAATGTAAATGCCGTTTTATAGGACCTTGAACATGCAGAAAAATATGTTTTAAATTCTTAAAATACAGAATAGTGGGGCTTCCTTGAAACGTTGGTCAATATTAAATATTTTTGGTGTGGAGATGTGTTATAAAATGAGAACCCAAAATATTAAATTACAGCCAATTTGGTTGAAAAACATGTCCAATATACCTAATATTGGGGTTTCCTGAAACATGAGTCAATACTAATAATATTTGCTACGGTGATGTGTTATGCAATGAGAATCCAAAATACCAAATTAGAGCCAATTTGGTCAAACTTTAGTGGCTGCTGAAATTCAACTGGTCTCCCTGGATGACCTTATCTATACACCTTGATATATACTATGTGATGTCTCCAATGAATATTTCGAGGTGGAGGGTATAAAAAAGCAACTCTGTAGGTAGTGGCTTCTTTTTTAAATATAAATATACGCAACAGGTTGCTGTGGTTATTTGACATTTTTCCAAAACTAAAAACGTGA